CATACCCTTCTTTATCCGTTATCAACATTATTTTTATATACCCTTCTTTATCCGTTATCAACATTATTTTTGTATACCCTTCTTTATCCGTTATCAACATTATTTTTGTATACCCTTCTTTATCCGTTATCAACATCATTTTACATACCCTTCTTTATCCGTTATCAACATTATTTTTGTATACCCTTCTTTATCCGTTATCAACATTATTTTGTATACCCTTCTTTATCCGTTATCAACATTATTTTGTATACCCTTCTTTATCCGTTATCAACATCATTTTACACACCCTTCTTTATCCGTTATCAACATCATTTTACACACCCTTCTTTATCCGTTATCAACATCATTTTACACACCCTTCTTTATCCGTTATCAACATCTCATTGTATACGGAAATAATTTCACTGGCGAAGATTTTCCTATAAACGTTCATATCGTTCTAATATATGTAACAGTAACATAATAGCCATTCTGTGTGACTTGCTCGTGACGTTACCCACAAACAAATCCTCATTATTTTCTTTGTGACACTACACGTTTTCAAATACCGTTCCAGGTTAATACATTTAGTTTAACTGCTCTTCCGGTGGCTCAACGGTAAGCGTTCGAGGTAATAACGCAACAGCCCGTTGTGTGGAATTGCTCTTATCAACAAACACACAAGCTCTCTTCGTACTAGGCTGATTTCCCTTGTCTTCAGTTCTATTGAAGATACATAACTTTGATAATCTCCCAAACTGGGATTAGAAGATTCTGTTTCGTTATCACTGGAGTTCATTGAGTAGGGAACGAGAGAAAGAGATTTTGTTTAACAATTTGGTTAATTTTGTCGTCGTCTTTACCCCTCCCCCGTTTATTTCTTAGAAATAACCAACAAGAATTGCGTGGTTTCCATTTAATAATGGCCCGGCATGGCCAGGTTGTTAAGGCACTCGACTCGCAATCTGAGGGTCGCGGGTTCGAATCCCTGTCACACCAAACATGCTCGCCCTTTCAGCCGTGGGGGCGTTATAAATTTACGGTCAATCCCACTACTCATTGGTAAAAGAGTAGCCCAAGAGTTGGCGGTGGGTGGTGATGACTAGCTGCCCTCCCTCTAGCCTTACACTGCTAAATTAGGGACGGCTAGCGCAGATAGCCCTAGTGTAGCTTTGCGCGAAATTCAAAAATAAACAAATAATAAAAAAAATCATTCAGTGACGCCTGGTGGTGGTAGTTTGAACTTGAATAATCAACTTAATACAACATATTTATTTGATAATAAAACTTGTAAATTTTCAACCTTTTATTGAACAGGGAAACAAGACAGAAAAGAAAAATCTTACTTTCTCTCAGACTCTGTTCACAGAGCCACTCCCTACAGCATGCTCCGGTAACTGGTACAAGTTGAGGATTCCGACATTTGGCTGACGGCCGGACGTTCTCGTGGGGACACAAGGACACGCACCCATATGTCCCATTTTGGCACGTACACTGGGTTTTACAGTCCAATTTAAAGGTCTGTCCGTCCGTGTAGGTGACGCTTCCAATTCGGCAATCTATTCCTTCATCCACTAAAAGTTTCTCAACATTTAGTATCCAAGGTTATAAATAATGCTTTGAGACGAGAACCTGAATAATTTCTTTTGTACTGTTATTATAGTATTTTTGTAAAACGTTAAAGTTCTCGTTAAATTCAAATAAAAATAATTATTATTAATGAGAAAATAAACGGCGTTCAAATGATATACATAAATAAATAATCTTTATTTGTAATGTACTTAAATAAAATTTAAAATAATTACAACTACCTTGCTCAATTTGATTCATATCCTTAGAGATGTACATGAAAAACTGATGATTTAAATATACATAGCACCTGGACCCCTATTGTACCTGCCATATACCGGCCCCTATAGTGGCACAGCGGTACGTCTGCGGACTTACAACGCTAGAAACCGGGTTTCGATACCCGTAGTGGACTGAGCGCAGATAGTTCATTGTGTAGCTTTGTGCTTAACTACAGACACACCATATCCCAGCCGGTATGGTCAGCCCTGGTATTGAGCGAAAAGCCTAGTCGGCACTGGATAATGTAGATTTAGTGTGTTTGACATGTTCTCCTTTGCCTTAACTCACAGGTTTTCAGAATCACATATTGCACTTCGGAGTTAAAACTAAATTATGTTATACCCTACTCTATATCTGAATATACGTATTACGTATATATATATATCAAATATATGGGCAACATTTAAAGGCAGTCGTAGAAAGTAATTATACGTATTATATATATATATATATATATATATATAATATAGAGGAGAGGTTCATAGATATTGTGAAACTTTACAATCTGAAGAGTGACTGTTGAGTTACGAAATTGACAAAATCTGAGGATCTGAAACAAAGACATGTTTTTACATAGCTAATTTAAATAAAAACTTATAACAAATACAGTTTTTCTAAATAGCTACCGTATTCTTTTGAGGCTTATTTCTTTTATTTCACTGACCAGTTTTTACGCTTACGATAACTTTAGCTACTTTATTTGCCAAGTTATTTTTGTTGTTGTTCTCATTTATGTAGTTAATTTGCTTTAGTCAAAGTTATTAACGTTTAATCTAAATCAGTCACATCTTCTCAAGTAATCAGAGTCAAGGTTGTAGCTATAATTGTCACAGGATGCTGTTGTGTAGCGTTAACCCTAAACGGAAGTGATGGTAGTAACTATAGCAGTCACGGGATGCTATTGTGTAAAGTTAACCCTAAACGAAGTGAGAGTTGTACTACAGCAGTCACAGGATGCTGTTGTGTAGTGTTAACCCTAAACGGAAGTGAGGGTAGTAACTATAGCAATTTCAAAATGTTTTGTAGCGTTAACTCTAAACGGAACCGAAGATAGTTACTATAACAGTTGCAGAATGTTGTTGTGTAGCGTTAAGCCTAAACGGAAGTACTCTAGTTTCACAAAAACTAGTTCTAATTTTTAAATATACATACTTTTGACTTCAACAGAATTAAAGTAAACACGTAAGTAAGCCAACATATACTTCCCTGACTTATATTTACTAATCAATTTTAGGCTTAATCCTAATTTTTCAACGAGTTAAAAGGAAAGCTTTTAAATGTTTTGTGTTTATGAACTAAAATATATATAAATTTATTAATTACTTCCGTTATCGTTGTTTTCTGATTTGAAACGTTATATAAAAATGAGACAATTCAGATTTTCTCACATTATAACTTTTCTTTCTTTGTACAAAATGTAACTTTAAAAGATTGAAATCAACATTTTTCAAAGAGGCTTCTCACATACGCTAAATAGCTTAACTATGTAGTTTTCCTGACCAACATAAAAACGTAAACATTGGAAGGTTGCTATAGTAACGACACAAACTTGCCTTTACATATTCCTGTGGTCGCAAGAGGCGTAGGATAGAAACAGTGCAGTCTTCTATTACGATCACATACACTCACTTTGTCGCAGGCTTCTCCCTGCTGGCGAGCACAAACAGGGCAACAGCCGCAGCCGTCCGTGACAACAGCTACACCTTGCGGACAAACAGGGTTACCCGGTGGGCAATGGCACGGATAAGAGCACCGACCTCTGACCTGAATATATAAAGTTGAACAACGGAGTCAATACTGAGTAAAACAGAGTTGTACGAAATAGTAAATATACAAACCAGAGAATAAATCTTAAATCTGATCTTTACTTTGTTTGACGGAAAGATAGGATGTTAATATCGTACACTTTCTCTTGTAGATGTAGATATTTATTAATTAATTTATAATAACATCTTTTAGATATTTATTAATTAATCTATTATATTAATAATAATATCTCCTAAATGTTTATTAATTAATTTAGTATATTAACAATAACATCTTCTAGATATTTATTAATTAATTTATTATATTAATAATAATATCTTCTAAATGTTTATTAATTAATTTATAATAATAACATCTTCTAGATATTTATTAATTAATTTATAATAA